CCTCTTCGATATGGTAATTTTTGATATCCCTCATCCATTTTGCCCACTCCTCACCCCCTACCTCTGGCAACCACAAATATGATATCTTTTTTCCCCCTATTTCTACTTAATGTGCCTTTACTTGATATTTTGTTCTCTTTTTCTGTAAGTTTGGGGTTTGTTTTTTTTTTGGTTTGTTCATTTGGTTGTTCTTTTTTAGATTCCATGTATGAGATCATGAGTATTTTGTCTTTCTCTGTGTGACTGATCTCACTTAGAATAATGTCCATAAGGTCTGTCTATGTTGCCCCAAATGTCAGGATTCACTTCTTTCTCATGGCTGAATAATATTTTATTGTTTGTGTGTGTGTGTGTGTGTGTGTGTGTGTGTATCACATCTTCTTTATCCATTCATCCTATGCATATACCACATCTATTTATCTATCTATCATCTATCTATCTATCTATCTATCTATCTATCTATCTATCTATCTATCATCGACTTTTAAGACTTTAAGAGGATCTGAAGCCAAAGATGTATAACTAATCCAGTAGGCACATTTGTTTTCACAGTTTATTTTCATCCAAATGTGAGTAGACTTACAAGAGAGCAATAACAGCTGACCCCTGTGTCTTTCTGTTGTTTCTTTTGTATATTTGGTTAAAGTACAATTATTTTTAACTGGTATTTGCAAATGGCTAATTGATTTTTAAAAGTTATTCAATACTGGTAAAGTATTTCTATTTTGAAACTGTTTTCATTTAAAAATAGTGTCAACTTCTCTTCTATTGTTCACTAATGTATAATATTTTAACAAGTTCATCACCACTGACTGGAGTAGATTAATGCGTTTGTGTTACCCAGGTAAACGGGATCATGAATTAATGGTCACACTGCTGCTGTTGCATTGTTGATTTAAGGATTACAAAGTTTTGTTCTGTCTTTGTTGGAATCCCTTTCCTAGAGCAGTGGAAATCAAGGCCTCAGCTTACCTGGGAAGCACTGGAGAAAGCCAGACATGCTTCCACAGTCTCACCTGAAAAGGAGACTAAACTATGGGATTTTTCTTTCCACCGTGACTTTTCTTCCCTTTCCAGTCACTAGTTACACCATTCACAGCCCTTGGAGCAATAAGAATAGCCTTTTACTTTTTCATTTTCATTACTTTGGCTGGGAGTTGTTTTGGCATTTCTGTGACATTCTCGTTCTGTGTTTGTTTTCTTTTGTCTCCTTGGGAACTTATTTGAAGGGCAACAGATTTATTGTCAAGCATGTTGGATTGTTTATTATAACATCATATTTCATAGCTGTAGAAATTGAGTTATCTGGAGAAGAACCGGAACTGGAATGGTCTAGACAGCCAGGGATGGGGGATGCTTTGCTGGTAGGACTTCCTGTAGCCCTGGGCAAGGGTCATCCTTTGACCTGTGCACTTGGAGCCTTGTTCTGGGCCTCATGATCTAGGGGTTCTGCTCCAGCTCTCCTTGGCCAACCATCCCCAAGGCCAGGGTGTGGTGGTCTTTCTGAGAGACAAACGGACATGGCCACCTGGAACCCTGAAGCCTGCTACCTTTGCTGTCCCAGGCTGAGGTGCCTGGGACCCAGGATTTTTCATCCCAAAGGTCCCCAGCTGTCTTCCAGAGCCTGGTTTGTGGCAGCGCACAAGGCTTTAGGATGGGCTGATGGTTAAGGAGCAACTATTATAGGAGAAGCAGGGGAGAACAGGGATTGGCAGAGCTGTGGAACCAAATATAGATCTTAGCCTGGGTTTCAGAACGCGTTTTCAGGCCTCTCCCAGCATAGATTAAAAATGAGGAGGAGGGGCTTGCTGCTAGCCCTAGCCGATTTGTTTTCATACCTAAGAGAAAAAAGTGTCCTCATCTTTTACACAAACTTGGGTTAGGAAATTGAATAATCAGGATCTATTATTTGCAACTGTTGTGGGTTGAACTATGTCCACCCCATCCTACCCCCAAAATAAATAAATATATAAATATATAAAAGATATGTGAAGCCTTACCCTAACACCTTGTACTCATGAATGTGACATTTGCAAAAAGGGTCTTTGAAGATGTAAATAAGTTAAGATGAGGTCATACTGGAGTAGAATGGGCTCTCAATTCAATGACTAGCGCACTTGTAATTAGAAAAATGTGCATACACACGCAGAGGAAAAGGTCTGTGAAAAAAGATACAGAGATTGGAGTTAAGCTGTCACAAGCCAAGGACCACCAAAATTTTAGGAGAAGACCAGTGTCTAGGAGAGAGGCATGAAAGAGCTGCTTCCTAAGATCCTCCAGAAGGAACCAATCTGCTCATGCCTTGATTTTGGGTTTTTAGGCTCCAGAACTATGAGAGAGTAAATTTCTGTTGTTTTAAACCATTCAGTTTGTGGTACTTTGTATGGAAGCCCCAGGAAGCTAATATACAATGGATAAATTATTTTGAAAAATAGGATGCTTTTCAAAGCCATGTTATTGACTCTGTAGTGGAGATTACCTCACCACAATAATACAGCAAATTAATTCCCTAAGATCTGCCAAAGTTCTTACTAACTCTGGATAAAGAGTAAAAATAATCTGATGATAATTTTCTTTCTAAAAAATTATATGTTTATCTCCAAATAAAATTGTACATGCTATTATTTGATAATTCTGGACAGTAAAAATAAAATCAATTCACTTTCTTAAATTGGGGAAAGTAAATCAAGGAGGCCTTTACTGGGCATAAAGTTCAGAAACAATATCAAGGCAGATGACCCGGTTCTACACTGGCTGTTATGTTTGCGCTGTTGTCTTTGCCTGTGATCAGATGACAAAGGCAAACACATTATCTGACACAGCACTGGCCTAAGTGTGTTCCCAGGATGTTAACACAGGTTGCAAGGAAGAGGGTTCCCTTGTGAAAAAAATAAAAACTGCATATTCTGAGCCTAATGAAGTTAAATGGCTTTTTAATGACAGAACATCTAAGGGACTTTGGTGTGCTAATATATATCATGACACATTGAAAGAGGAATATAGCTGGACACTTACCTGTATATTTTATGATAAAACTGTTTATGGAAGGAGTTTCTGAAACTGGGTTTCCATGGACTAACTTTGGGATGCAAGCACCTTAGAATATTGCTTCTACTGATGTTCCACAGGATCAATTTGGGATAGATCTATCCCTATCATCTATACATTTCCCCCCTATTTAAAAAAATCTCCCTCTTTTAAAAATCTGTAACCTTTTACCCATGCACCCTTACCCAGATCTGTTATATATACCTTAAGTTATAGTCTAAGATGTCTCATTCAATATTAAACAAACATTGAGTATTCTTTCATCCCAGGTTCCAAAAATCATTACTACCATATTCCTTTAGCTTCTAAATCATTTCTATTATCTCTGCTGTTGATATGAAGCCTTTTTATGAGAATGAACCACAAGAATAGCTGATATTCAACACTTATAACATGGCAATTTTATGTGGCTCAATCTAATACACGAACATTATTAAAGGAGTCATTACAGTTACCAAGACACTTCATTTACCAAAGAGGCTTAGCCACTTCAAGAATTTGGCATAATACTTTTATAAATAGACTGGATGGTTGGCAGGAGAAATCACTTATGCTTGTAAATGATACCAAGCTGGCCGAGATTAACATTATCATGTAGGGCCAGACAGGAATGCAAAATGATACAATCAGTTTGATGAAGTAATGTGCACTGGATGAAGTGAATTGTAATTAGGGTGCATACAAGGTTTTGTTTGTGAAATAGAATAATTAATTTGAAAAATGCAGTGGAATAGAAACATTTACATGGACTGGGCTGCATGCGGAGGAGTTTTAAAGTCATAGCCAATCAATCACAGATGCAGGCTCTGCTGAACATGCTCAAATTGTGCACCTCTTAACCATTCTGATCGACTGTCTGGACCTCATCATGTGGATTTTGGCTGCCACACTGAATGGCCGTTGGCACCAGATCAATGGTTCTATTCCATTTGGTCTATGAATTTCAAGCATTAAGACAAAGTATTATTATCTTGAGTAATATAAGAATACTCTCCATTCAAACTCTCCTTACCTTTCAAGGCCCAATTAAAAGTCAAGGAGGTCCAGAAAGTCTCTCCCTTCTTATTTCTATAGGTCATAGACTGGATTGCTCAACTTATTACAAGGTCTGAACAAACAATCCTCTTTGTATATCAGACTCAACTTTACTCTTATAAATTCTTTGAGGACAAGGGCCATGGATTGTGTTTTACACTTTGGTCAGGCTAACATTTAGTCAATAAAAACATTAGTAGGCCTCATCAAGCAAGAGTTAATAAAGTTATGATCACAACAATAAAAACAGCAAAATGTTGATTTGAGAGCATGAAAGGCTGAGAAATTTCTGTGTAGGTAGATGAATATGGATCTTATCCTTTTGATTCTTAAACCAAATTTCCTTATTGAGAAACAAGATACATACTTATTTTTCATGTCTATCTTATCCAAGGTGGTATTTAATATATCCATAAAATTTTATTACATGTTAAATTCAAATAAATATAAAGCCAAATTTTAGTTTAGTGGAGTTTCATATAAGGTTTCTTATTCACACTTTGTGGTTTTATGTGCTACAAAATGTACTTAAATGGAAATAATTTTTACTAGGCTTTTGTCTCTGAAATATGGAGATGCTAGCTAGATTTTTTTATTCTATGCTAGATTTTCTGATATGGCTTGTTAGACTTCTGGTTTATCATCTATCCTAATGTCTCTATAAATTAATTCAATTTTTTAGCATGATTTATCAAAGTTGATTATTGAAATGAAATTCACACATTCCATTGTACTGTATATAATAGTGTTACCCCTCAGTCACTGTAATATGTGTGTGTGTGTGTGTGTGTGTGTGTGTGTTTGAATTTATTATAGCTGAGTCTTGAACCAACATTACCCTTAAGATTTTTAGGTACAACAGTGGTTTCCTTTAGAAAACAATTTTAGTCTAACTAGATGTTGTTAAATCCTCAGGCCATGGTAAGTGTGACTGTGGAAAGTGCAAATGTGACAAAGGATGGTCTGGGGACGCTTGCCAGTATCCAACTAACTGTGACCTGACAAAGAAAAAAAGTAACCAAATGTGCAAGAATTCCCAAGATGTCATCTGCTCTAATGCAGGTAAGAATTATATCCTATGAAAATTCATAAGTGAAATAATCAAATTTTGTTTTTGAATGGAAGTATGTAGGCATTGAGAAATATTAACCCTCTGAATCAGACTGCATTTGAGCATTTTTTTAGAAATGAAATTCAGATAAATCAATAGAAAAAAAATGTCATCTTGCTGAGAATGGCAAGTTTGATATTCTCCAGCTGTTCCAAATGTCTCCTTCAAGTGGAATATTCATTGGAAACAGCACTCCGATAACATTTTATGTAAATTGTGAGTCATGATTTTGAATACTGAATTAAATCTTTTAAAAAGGCTTTATATAAAGTGACTTAATTATTTTCTGTTATAGATCAAGGGTGCTTTGAATTTATACCTTAGCATCAAATAGAACCAAACCTTTTTAATTTGATGGAAGTTTCAGATGCAATGGATGTGAAACTCATTGAAGAATATAGTGACAGCAAGATTCTTTGTTTGACCAAAATATTTTTACATCTCAAAGAAATTATTTAACAGTATTTCTTAGAAACTTACAAGAAACTATTAAAATTAACAACCAAAATCATATTTTAAAAAACTATGATTTTAGTTTCAATGGTTTTTAGCAAGCGTTTCTATAATTACTCTTTTTTATTAAATTAATTGGGGTACATTGGTTAATAAAATTAACCAAGGTGATATTTAACAATTTTATAATACATTATCTATATACTGCATTGTGTGTTCACCACCCACAGTCAAATCTCCTTCTGTCACCATATATTTGACCCCCTTTACCCTCTTTTAACCCCACTCCTTACCCTCTGGTAACCACTAAACTATTGTCTGTGTCTATGAGTTTTTGTTTGTTTGTTTTTCTTGTTTGTTGTTTTTAGTTTTATATTCAAAATATGAGTGAAATCATATGATTCTAGACTTTCTGTCTGACTTATTTCACTTAGCGTGATAAACTCAAAATCCATCCATGTTGTCACAAATGGCAGTATTTCATCTTTTCTTATGGCTGAGTAATATTCTATTGTATATATGTGCCACATCTTCTTTATCCAGTTATCTAACCAAGGACATTTTGGTTGCTTCTATGTCTTGGCCACCATGAATAATACTGCAATGAACATAGGGGTATATATATATATCTTTACAGGTAAATGTTTTCAGATTTTTGGGGGCAGACACCCAGAAGAGTGATTGCTGGGTTATGTGGTAACTCTATTCTTAAGTTTTTGAGTAAACTCCATATGGTTTTCCACAGGGGCTGTACCAATTTGCATTCCCACCAACAGTGTATGAGGGTTCCTTTTTCTCCACAGCCTCTTCAACACTTGTTATTACTTTTCTTGTTGATAACAGCCATTCTAATAGGTGTAAAGTGTATATTATTGTGGTTTTGATTTGCATACCCCTAATAGCTAGTGAAGTTGAGCATCTTTTCATATATCTGTTGGCCATTTTTATGTCTTCTTGGGAGAATTGTCAGTTCAGGTTCTTTGCCCGCTTGATCTTTTTGTTGTTGAGTTGTATGAGGCTTTTTGTTTGTTTGTTTGTTTGTTTTGTTTTTGTTTTATATACAGAGGGTGCCAAAAATGTACACACATTTTAAGAAAGGCAAAAACTGTATTAAGATTGTAATAATGTATACTAATAAGAAAAGATGAAGACAAGTCACGTTTGACTTCTGCAATTACAAAAGGTGCTCAAAGTGGTTATTATCAGCGTAATTTTAATACAGTTTTTTTTCCTTTCTTGAAATGTGTATACATTTTTGTGGCATCCTCTGTATTTTGGATATTAGCCCCTCATCAGAGGCATTGTTGGCAAATATCTTCTTCCATTCAGTTGGTTGTCTCTTTGTCTTCTTGATGGTTTCTTTGCTGGGCAGAAGCTTTTTATTTTGATATAATAATTCCATTCATTTATTTTTGCTTTTACTTTCCTTGCCTTTGAGGTCAAATTCATAAAATCTTCTCTAAATCCAAGGTCCATCAGTTTAGTACCTATGCTTTCTTCTATGCAATTTATTGTTTTGGGTCTTATATTCTGGTCTTTGATCCATTTTGAGTTAATTTTGGTATATGAAGACAGACAGCAGTCTAGTTTCATTGTTTTCATGTGGCTTTCCAATTTTCCCAGCACCATTTATTGAAGAGTGCATGAAGAGTCCACTGTATGTTTTTAGCTCCTTGTCAAAAATTATCTGCCCATATATATATGGCTTTATTTATGGGTTCTCAATTCTGTTCCATTGGTCTGTGTTTGTTTTTCTACCAATATCATGCTGTTTTGATTATTGCTGCTTTGTAGTATAAATTGAAGTCAAGGAGTATGATACCAAGGCTGGATGAGTGGCTCAGTTGGTTAAGAGCTCGCTCAAGAGTGTGAGCTCTGAGCAACAGTGGTTTGATTCCTGGCCCAAGCTGAGCTGCTGCTGAGCTGCCAACAGGTGGCACGATGGCTCAGCTAAAAAAAAAAAAAAAGGAGTGTGATACCTCCATCCTTGTTCTTTTTTTTTCAGGATTGCTTTGGCTATTTGCAGTCTTTTATGATTCCACATAAATCTGATGATTTTTTTGTTCTATTTCTTGAAAATAATGCTATTGGGATTTTGATGGGGACTGCATTAATTCTGTATATTGCTTTGGGTAATATGGCCATTTTAACTATTTTGATTCTCCCAATTCATGGACATGGAATAATTTTCCATTTCTTTGTGTCTTCTTCAGTTTGTTTTATTACTATCTGGTTTTCAGTGGCTAGGTCTTTCACATCCTTTGTCAAGTTTATTCCTAGGTATTTTATTTATTATTTTTGCAATAGCAAAAGGAATTGTTTGTTTCATTTCTTTTTCTGACATTTAATTGTTACTATATAGGAACACAATGGATTTTTGTACATTGATTTTGCATCCTGTATCTTTACTGTATTTGTTTATTGTTTGTAATAGGTTTTGGTTTAGTTTTTTTTCTGTTTTTGAGTCTTTAAGGTTTTCTGTATAAAGAATCATATCATCTGCAAAAAAATGACAGTCTGACTTCTTCATTCCCAATTTGGATGCCCTTTATCTTTCTCTTGCCTAATGCTCTGTCTAGTACACCCAATATTATGTTGAATAACAGTGGTGAAAGAGGGCATCCTTGTCTTTCTGATACATTTAGGTATGTGGAGCCTCAAAGTCAGCTTTTCTCAATACTGGTTGAACTTGTGAATAGTCCTGTCCTAAACTAGAGGCTCTGATTCAATTGCCTTGAAGTGTGATTCAGACTATAGTGGGTTTTTAAAGCTCTCTGTGTAATTCATATGTAGATCCGAGGTTGTGAGCCATTGCTCTTCCTGCTAAAAGGATTTGATTACATAAATATCTTCCTCCCTGAAGCACACTTTGTTGATAGAGTCCTGCAATCCAAGCAGAGCTAAGACCTTTCCACAGTCTTTGATTGTGACCAATTGCTCTGTGTAGATTAAGTGTGGTGAGATTGGTTTGCCTGTAGGAATCAGGGCCATACCCAAAACAAGGTGGGAGTGCACCAATGGGGGACCATGACAAATGGTCTTAGCAGTCAGGGCACTTTCTATGTTTGTTGATATTCTCTTCGCTTCTCTCCAGCACTTTAGTCTTGTCTTTCCTCTCAGTAGGATTTCTCTACTTCCAGTTCATAACACCCAACCCTCCAAACACACACTGCCGCTTTCGTTTTGAAAACTTTATGTTTTACAAATTTCTTTCAATAATGAAACTTGAATTCTGTGTTGTTTCTTTGTTGTCTATTATATTTATTTATTCATTTATTTATTGTTTTGTTTTTAAATTAAATCCAGGTTATTATTATTTTTTCTTTTACATAACACATTATAACAAATAGGAGTTAGCTGAGGGATCCAAAGATGTTTCAACATTAAGAAATATAAACATGTGACATACTACATTAACATTTCTTAAAGGAGAAAATTTGCAGAATTGTTTTAGTAGATAAATACATTTAAGGTACAAAACATGTTTTTCAGATATTTGTAGCTCTGTCTTTTTTTTAACATTGATACAATACTTTTCTGTAATCTATCATCTATATTCCAGTTTTGTCAGTTGACCCAACAATTCCCCTTATATCTTTGCACCTTCTGTATAGGATCCACTCTAGGGGCAGTGTTATGATTAGTTGTCATCTCTCTTTAGCCTCCTTTAATCTGGACCATTTCCACAGGTGATGGCATTATAGAATGGGCAATTTTGAAGAAAATTGTCCCCAACTTTTTTAAAAATAGAATTTAACTCATTTTGGGTGTCTGATATGCCTTTATGATCAGATTCATGTCATACATTCTTAGATGAAATACTTGATAGATAATTTTGTTTTCTCAGGATGTGATATCTGGAAGTACATGATATCCCTCTGCTCTCACTTGCAAGGTTAATATTGATCACCCGGTCAAGGTGCTGTCTGATTTCTCAGCTCTGTAATTACTGATTTTGCCATTGTAACAAATGAACAAGACTGTGGGGAAATACTTTGAAATAATGAAATACTCCAATCCTCATGAAAATGACCCCAGATTTACCACCATGGACGACTCTCACCTGATCCAGTGTTTACAGTGATGATTGAAAAATGATATCCAAATGGCAACATTCCCTCCATATTTACCAGTTGCTGCTCAACATTCTACCACATACAAGTCTTCTCTCTTCTACCAATTATTTGATATTTCATTGGCTTAGTGATTTATTATCAGACTAGGATCACAATTCCTATTATTTCAATGGTTTATTATTCATTATTGTACTTAATTATTCTGGTGCTCAGATTATCCCAGGTTAGACTACTGGAGTCATTTCCAACTAGCTTCTATGACCTAGTGACATGCTCTCATTGCTTGTTTTGTTTTAATAGTCCTTTACTTTCTGGCATAATAAAGTATTTCAGTCGTATAGCTCCTGCCCAGCAACAGCTTTGGAATTAATCATTTCTCCAAAGAACTGGTTCCATTCAGTGAAGAACGGTATTAGAATAAATTTTGTGAGCATTAGGGATTCTTACTTCTACTGGATATATTTGTTTTTTGGCTCATTTTGCAAACAGGCTACTTATGCATGAATATATATGTATAAATATATATATATATATGAATATACACACATACACATAAGCATATTTTAAAATCATGAATTCACACCAATACATCCAACTGCAATTCATTCCCACAAGGTACTCTGGCTCCCAACATCAACATATTTACTCATTTGCTCAATCCTATCCTACATATAAAGTTGATTTTAGAATTGCTCAGTACACACCGCTATACAAAAACAAACAAACAACAAACAAAAAACTACCAAAAAAATCTCAGGATTTGCAATTCACCCCCTCTTTCACTTTCACCCTACCTCCAAAATGCCCAAGATTGGGTTATATAGTCAAATGCTATATTCATAAGTTACTTGAATTTCTTTTTTTCCCCCTTTAGTGCAGTTATGGTATTGTTGGAAATACAATTGAGCTTTTTTATTTCAGACCGGTTTAAGTTTTAGGTTTTCTTTTTCTCTTTCTTATCCTCATTGATTTCATTTTATTTTATAATATGTAGAACATTATCATGCTTCCAAAGTCAAAACTTTACAAAAAAGCTTACTCAGTGAATCATTATTCTCTTCCTTAAACCTTCATCCTGCTCCCCCTCATAACTTTATAGGTAACCAACTTTACTATTTTCTGCTTTACCTATGTATATTTTTATTTTTGGTAAAGATAAATAGGTAGATGTATGTGTTATTATTTTTCAGTTTTTCATTGTTTTCCTATGTAGCCTGCTGCAAGTGCTCTTTTGCACTCTGCCTCTTCCACTCAACATTATTTCCTCAAATTCACTCCACATCAGTACAAAGGAACCACATTTTTTTTTTTTCAAATGCATAGGGCTCAGCTCTATACAGGTAGTCATAAGTTATTTCATCAGTCTCCTATGCTTGGACATTTAGGCAGTTTCCAGTATTTTCAAATTATAAATATTATTGCATGATTGAATTGGTGCAGATGTATTTTCATATTTTTGGAAGTGTACCTTCAGGGTAAATTACTAGAAGTGAGATTGCTGGGCCAAAAGGTAAATTCATGCTCAGTAGCGCATTGAATCTTTTATCTCTTCCTCTCCTCTCAATATCTAAGCCTTTCAAGTGTACTTTAACAGTCTCATTCTCACTTGTCTGTCTTTTAATGTCTGTTTCTACCAGCCTCATTCAGGACCACTCCTCCCAAATTGCATTAGTTTATATGACTTCTCTCTACTAATCTTTGCACTTCATATCACAGTGTGGTTTGCTGGAAGCAGCTTGGAGCAGAAGGGGAAGAGGAGGTAAATGGAGAGGGGCATGAGACTGAAGAACAGGCTGAGATGGAACTGAGGGACTAAGGGGTTCCAGAAGCTGACTCTAGCAGCCCAGAAAGGCCAGGCAGTCTCCAAACTGAAGTGAGGCTTGACACTGCTGCACAAGGGTGTAGGCTGATGTTCAAGACAGGGAAACAAACCTAGAACGAGACAGCTATATTAGTAAGAATGAAAAGTCAGGGCTAAAATAATCTAGCAGAAAGTGGAAGACCAATCCTGGAGACTGAGTTAACCGGCAACCAGGAAAGAGAAACAGTATGACATAGCATGAACACAGGAGTCTGGCACTTTTGCCTGGGCTTCCATATGCCATATCTTGGAGCCTCGGTTGTGATTTCTACTTGGCGGGTGAGATAGGAAGTCTCTGAGCTGTTGTAAACTTCCCACATCAGCCAGGAATGGTTCGAATGTGTGGATGGGAAGGAGTCTGCTTGTGGGAGATGTCAGTGAGAAGTTGTAGAATGCGGAGGCAAACACCATTCCTTCCCACCTTTCCTGAAAACAGCTACTACATACACAGTTCTAACCATGTTACACTCATTCCCAAACCAGGAAAGTTTCAGGTGTTCCAGGTTAAATACTAAAATTTCTAACCAATATTCTTGATCCTCTACTATCTGCCTTCAACCTACCCCTCTCTCTGAACTCAAGCAAGATGCTTTACTATTTTTTAATTCTGCATCCTTATTCCTTAGTTCAGGCTCTTTCCTCAACATCACAAGTCTTTTTTCCATCTCCACTTGTTGAAGTTCTATCCATGAGACTAGTGCCAACTCCAGAACTTACTGCTTTACTGTGCCTGTCCTCCTCCACAGAGCCAGACTAAGATTTAGGTTTATATTTCTATAAAGCATTTGTCACAAAGCTATTGCACATGACTTTGCGTCATCTGACTATATATATATATATATACATGAAAATTATCGATCATCTAACTCTTTCTTCCTGGTTTATGATTCAGTTAGTTTTAATTTTATTCACCTTACTGTCTTCTATAGCACCTACCACATTGCCAACAATATAACAGTCAACAAGGGAATTTAATGAATACATATGTTGATGGTTGAAAGACAGCATCAGTAAATGTGAAAGTGAAAAAGAAGAGTGATAATTAGAGAAAAATGAGATGAGGCAATACCATGAATTATAGCATTAGATTTGAAATGAACTTTTATAAATTAAAATAGTTTTTAGGAAAAAAAAAGACAAGAAAATGAGGTTGAATAAAAGTAAAATTCACATGAGTATTCTCAAACAAGAAAAACCACAAGCTCAAATTTTGCAAAATCACTATTTATATGTGACTGTGAGAGAAAGGAAAATTAACAAATAGCAAATTGCAAGTGACTGGGGTATCATGCAGAGGGTGTGAAAACAGGACAACTTGTGGGGTCCATAAATATAAAGTGAGCCTGGAGAAAATATTTGGGAATATGACTAATATACTAGATATCTTAATGGGAGAAGAGGAAGAACCCAAATTTTTCTGAAAGCCTACAATGTAGCAGACACAGTAGTGTTTTTAAAAAGATGGCTGGGTAATGTATTTATCACTTGGTCCTCACTGCAGCCTTATAACATGTTTATTATTTGTAGATAAGGAATTCGAGAATTACAGATGAAACTAATGACTTCAAAAGGGTATAGCTAGTGGGGATTAAAACTGAATTTGGCTACAAGTCTACCTTAGTCCTAAATTCATGTTCTCTCTAGTATACCACAACAGAATCTCTGATATCTGGTAGTTCAAGTCAAATAGAAATATCATCTTTGGTTCCACCCCATCCTTCACCAAGTCATACCCAATCACTCACCAAATTCTGTCTATTCTTTCTCCTGAAAGTATCCCCAAGTTCATGCACTTCTTTCTAAACTCACTGACATCCACCTGGTCAGCCTGTATCTTCTTTCCTGCAGACAAATGTCATAACTCAGTTCCCTATAACCAGTTTTTCCTTATTTCAGTTCATCTTCCATATGACAACCAGAGTAACCTGGTAAAACTGCATAACTGACTTATGCAGTTAGTCATAACTTATGCTTGCTGAAAATATTTCTGTGGCCTGTCATTATTCTTGGATTACATTTGGAAACCTTCAGCATGACATTAAGACTTCCATAAATTGCACCGTTAGTTGCCTTATTCTTTTTATACCACTTTCTCATTATTGTCTATACTCCAGCTGTATTCAATTTTTTTTTCTTATTTCCTATTTTACCACAGAACCTTTGTTGTTGGCTCTTGCTGGAAGTGGGCCTCTTCACCATCTCTCATTTTTCTTGGCTTTTTTTTTTTCTTGCTTTTCAGTCCTCAGCTTAAGTAAGAGCTACTTCTCTAGGGACCCTATCTTTGACCTCCAGGTCTCAGTTAAATCCCCTTGCTATATGCTTTTGCAATACTTTGTACCTCTCCATTTATTTTATCCCATTGATTTCTACTCATGTAAAACTCTGAGAGGAGAATTTGGTAGAGTTGATCTTCTGTTACATTGTCCAGAGTCTAGGGTGGTGTCTGGTGAGGGGTAAAGTCTCAATTAACTTATATTGATTGCTATGATAATCAATTAAAAATTGACAAATAAGTATTTAAAAATAAAATCTCTCAAATGGACATTTTACCTCACAATATCATTTGAATGTTGTTTTACTGTCAGTGAAATCACTCTAGGGGATGTAGTCAAACCCTCAAACTTAGCTGAGTATATGGTATATGGTAGACCAGATGCCTCCAGTGTTTCTGTATCACCCTGAGCTGCCCTGAGGTTTCGGTGAGGTCCGAGGTCTCTATGCCTAAGAAAACCCACCCTGGTACCTTGTCATTAGAATATGTGTATCAGTTTAACACTATGGATGTGAAATTATTAGGGACAGCTACATTTTTAACTTATGCATTTGATAACAAATTCTACAAATATTTATTATATAAATAGTCTGCTCAAATATTGTCCAAAGCATTGAATAAATACTGGTGAAGAAGATAAGCAAGGTTACTTCCCTCACAAAGCTTAGAATTTTCTGCTTTCAGACTCAGGTGTAATCAGAAGATATTCATTCATGCATTGATTGGATGGATATGTATAAAGCAGCTTTGCATTTAAAAGGTCAAATTTACATTCATGAAACTATTAGAGGTCAATCATAATAGCTGTGCTGTAAAATATAATTGCTGTGCTACAATAATCTCAGGAAAGAAAGTCTTGTTATCTCTCTAATCATGCCCACAGAAATACACAATTGGAATATTAAATTGATTTGAATTTTCTGTCTCCTTGAAAGAGGTTAAAACTCATTAATTATAATTTATGTGGATTTGACAAACCATTTTTGCTTTTTTTTAATGGTTTAGGTACATGTCACTGTGGCAGGTGTAAGTGTGATAATTCAGATGGAAATGGACTCGTTTATGGTAAATTTTGTGAGTGTGATGATAGAGAATGCATAGATGATGAAACGGAAGAAATATGTGGAGGTGGGTATATTAACTTGCAGAAATTAATAAAATACTGCATTTTTCACCTGTTCCATTATACTTTTATCTTTATAAATGGATGCACTAAGTTTACTAATTTAGTCTGAACCTGTTTATATGGAAAACACTTCATATAAGGAGAGTTAGACTAAGCCATTCACAGTAATGCATACTTTTTAAATGCAAAATCAGATTGTTGCCAGAGGAGCACCAGATGATATGGCAAACAGGCCAACTGCATAGTTCTGAAGTGGTCTTAGTTGGTTGGACTCCATCTCCTGTGTTCACTTTAGCTGCTTTTATTTTCTTTTTCTACCAATCTTTCAATTGCGTGTTTTAATTTCATTCTCTTTCCCTTTCTAAACCATAAGCTTTTAAATAGTTTCATGTCCTATTGAGGACATTAAGGCCAATAGGACATTAGCCTGGAATTTTTCACCTCCCAGCGCGTGTGCACACACACACACGCACTTATATAACATTTTTCATGATCTGTTCCATGTATACCATTACTCAAATCAATTTTCTGTTGTACCAGTGCTTGCACGCTTGCTAGTGCCAAGCACTGCAATAAGTACTTCACATTCACTAGATAACTTACCCAGGGTCATTCCAGCAATTATAGTAGAATTTAGACTCCTGTCTGTCTGACACCAAAGACTGTGCTCCTGATCCCTCATCAATGCCCTGGAGTTGGAGCTCCATGAGAAGAGCCTCTCCTAACCTATCTGCAAGCTATTCCCAGAGTTTCAATTTCCAATGGTGATTGGCACAGGAGAGGAATGTAGAGAGTAGTGAGAATCCCTTCAGTTTAGGTAAACTCTTCTCTGCTGTTATTAAATGTTTTAGTCTGGCTTCATCTTTCTATTGATAAGCAATTGCTTGTTTCATTTATCTCTGACAAGCTTCCAGTGCATGGAATCCTATCCTGCATGTGGAATGGGTGATTTCAGAAGAGTATTTTCCCTAGAAAAATCAGGGACAAGTGGGGCCAGAAGGAACCAGAATACTGGTAACGTATGACAAACTGTCCCTTTATTTACAGAAACAAATCGTAGCTTCAATTCCTGTGGTCATCCAGCTATTCTTATTTTTGGTCTGCTTGGTCCTTTCTCTCTGGTTTCCCTGCTGTATAACCCACCAGGATAAAACAGACACAAAAGCTTTCATTTTTTAAGCCAGTAACCTAAACTAGATGCTGCTCAGACAATTCTGATAAGGGTTCAGTCCAAAATAATTAGAACAACTAGGTAAATCCACCCACAAATATTATGTATTTGTTCTCCTGGTGTTTCATTTCCAATGATTACAGATCAACAAAAGAGGAAGGGAACATGCTTGGGGCCAGTGCATTCTGATGCACACCACCCAAACAAAGTCTGTTTGCGTGTGTAAATATAAACATTTAACTTGAAACAACACAACAGGAAATGTTTAACTCTCAACCTTTCTACTTATTATTTCCATTTGTTCGAGGCTTAAGCAATTTCATGGTGCAGTCTCTGACCACAGACACCAGCACTCTGGTAAACATCCTCTGGGGGTGACATTGACTGGGATTGTACATCTTTCCACCTGTCATTCACAGGAAACCAATCTGTTGAGAGGTGATTCTACAGCCCATCAGTGAAGCAATTCAAAATGAGATTTTCTTCCTCCATCAGTTTACACAAAGCAAAGAATGATGTTTGTTGTCTGGAATGTGTATTGTCCTGAAGCTTATATTTTATCTCAAATATTCCAACATGTCTTTTTATAGTATTTTCATTTAAATTATGAGAATATCTGCTTAATTTTCCATGCCTACATACAGATGTAGCTATTCATGATTTTTATTTCCCTTTTCACCTCTATCTCAATGATTTTTTTAGTAAAACCCTGAATTTTACAAATATACAAAGAATTTGGGTGTGAAGAATGTATATTTATGATCATTTGTTAATGCCATGGTAATCCTTACTTATGTAGCACCTTATATGAATTTCCTGAAATTACAGAGGAAATAAATTTTGGTTTAAGAAGTTAATGAAGTCTTTGAAAAACTGACTCCTAGAAAAAGCGTTTGCCACACAGTTGTCTTGCCTTTTTTCCAGTGTAATCCTCAAATTCCTGAGGCTTGTTATACAGCACTGGAATGTGGTATTTTGTGCATGTGTACATGTTGAGATGTTTTTAAGTTCATAAATAAAATGTATAATTTATACATATATAATAATTATAATATGTAATTATAAATATAAATGTATAGTGTGATAGCCTTTATATTTGTTTAAGCGAGAAAATTAAAATTAAATCTGTTGTAGAAATGATCACTGTCTATCAGGTTAAGAAGAGGTTTTCTATGGAAAACTCATTTAGACAGAAAACAGGGTATTGTGTGCATGGGTTCCTATCTCTTTTTCTGTATCTCATTATAGAACTCCTTCTCCTCATCCTTTGTTCTGTCTCTCTGATGTCTGTCTGCTTGAAGGAAGCCTCATCTGGTGGATGACAGTAGCATAAGAGGAGACCAGAATATTCTATTGCATTTTCCTTTCCTTATGTGAGTTTCACAAGGCCTACTGATGCTCTTGCCATTGGCTGTAAATGCCATAGTGTTCAGAAAGAAACATAACCTCATGATCAGTTTCCCATGGACCCTCTGGGATTATGGCTATAGGAGAAGAAAGAGAAGTACAAAGACTTTAGCCATAGACTCTGATAAAACATAAATTCCTATCAAACAGAAAGGATAGACTAAAAACAAAATCTGGTGTGACCCTGCTTTTCATCATATCTACAAGAAAAAAGAACATACATTCATATTGGGTGGCCTAGCTTCAAAAAGGGAGGATATAGGAAGTGATTTTGAGATAAATAGAATGCCATCTTTTGGGAATTTGTAGCAGATTTGATACAGATATGTAGATACGGATGTAGGAAGTGATGATGTGAAATTCATTACAGATTGCTTGGACATAAGTACAAATAAGTAAGGTAACAGTTTATAGAGAGGTGGGAGGTGAAAGAGTGTGGTGGTATCTGGACACAAAGTGATGGGGTGCCCTTACCTGTCATTTGTATTCCCTTGACAAATAAGATGGGAATTTGACTGTGAGATCCAGGGTCCATGATATTTTATTGGTCTAAATGAGTACTAAACATTGGTTTAGCTGAAAATCTCTTTTCTGTGTGGCAAGACACAACAGCTTGTGGGACACAGTTGAATGAAAAGGTGAAACATTTCCTCTGGTTTAAGGAATTGTTCAGTCATTAATAATGTGCATCTAAGTAAATATGCACCATAGGCTTCTCAATAGTTAATTTCAAATCAAATATTTTAATGACTAATTCAAGAAGTGCTCTTAGAGTAAACACTTAAATGCTTTTGAGCTTGATGCATACATTTAACATTGGAAGGTAATAGACTTTCACAGTCTTTCATGTTGTCTCTTTAAAATTCTTTCATTTTAATCAGCTGCCTGGCTAGGACAAGTTAAAGGACACTTTGACCTGCTTTATATGTATAATTATGTAAGTATAGGCACAGATACCATGTTTTGGGGCTAAACTACATACTTTGATTATTTTAAGCAAAAAATGTGGAGTAGGTATATTATTTCAGAAGGAAGAAATGATCTCAAAGGGATAGAAAGTTAATTCTGCTTTTAAAGTTGCGTTTTTCCTCACTGTATAAAATTCATTTTGGGTAAAGGCCATGGAAAGTGTTACTGTGGAAACTGTTACTGCGAGGCTGGTTGGCATGGAGATAAATGTGAGTTCCAGTGCGATATCACCCCCTGGGAGAGCAAGCGAAGATGCACATCTCCAGATGGCAAAATCTGCAGTAACAGAGGTGTGTCATTCATACAAGTTACTACGTAATTGGGAGGAAAACAAAGCTCTTAATTGTTAACAATCCTTTTTCTCTGTATTTCCTTTAGTGTCAGAGGAAGTCATCTTTTATAGTCATTGACTTTGATGTAAACCAACACTTACTATACCAACAATCTCATTCTTGTTTCGATGTTGAGTAGAAAACAGAAAAATAAGAAAGTTGTTGTCATTCTTTAAGCTTCACTGAACAAATAGTTAACATAGGGACTGTAATTTTTTTGGCGGCCATCCAGAAATAGCATAGTATAGATAAAAGGCAATTCTTGTAGATGCTTTTGTAAAATGTCTCTTGACTAACAGAACCAGCATGAGCATCTAATTACCCAGAGAATATTAAAAACAAATCTCTTGTCTTAATTATGAGTAAATTGAAAGCTTGGTTGAAATACAGAATTGATATAGTCATTTAGCTTTTATACACAATAAGAAAAATGTGGTATTGAACAAATAGATATGTAAAGCTATGTATCAAATAGCCATATGAAATTTAGACTGACCTTAGGCATGATTAAAAAAAAATTACTGTGACTCAAATATAATTTTAAGTGAGTTAAGTAGCTGCTGAAATCAAATCCAATGGTTTTAAACACTTTTTAAAAATCCTTGAAAATACTTGTTTTTGTCCCTTTGTCAGCTGTACTTATAGATAAAAGCGAGCCATGCTGTACTGTTTCTTGCCTATCTGAAGATATAAATAAGTGCCCCTATTTCTTTCTATAACATTATAAAAGTGTAGGAAACTGGAAAATTACTTTTTCATTTCAATAAATAAATGATGCGTTTTAATAAGTAATGCTTACATGGAAAACCTTAATATACAACCAATGTTATCCTTTAAAAAATTGATATAGAATAGTAAAATGTGTCACATTTCTGTACATAGAGAAAAGAAAGAAAAAGGCCTGAACTTGGAACAAAAATCATTAAAAAAATTCCCCTCTTTAATTTATACAGAATCAATCTGGCTGTATATCATACTAATTCACATTACATTTTCCTTTAATGTATAAGAACATGTTTCTGTTTCAGTTCTTTTATTCAGTAGGGTCAGTAATCACCATTATGATGTCAGGGTGTGAAGCTTGAACTGTGTTACTGTGGAAAATAACCATTTAGGTGTTCAAAGAGAGAGGAGGAGAGTGGAACTGATTGGGCTGTGGATGAGGGCCTGGTTCTGCAGCCAGGATACATGGGCTCTGAGAGACAGATGTCCTTCAGAAATACACACTCCTTGCCAGCTCTTTGCATCTCACCGCCTGCCCTCCCCTTTCCTGGTGCCCAGAGCTTTCTGATTTGGAGATCAGGCAGAGGCAGAACGGGGCAGAGGTAGCACCTCTGAATGAGGCTGGTAGCGAGTGAGACCCAGGGGCACGTGAAGGCAAGTCAGGGATGGACACTGCAGGGAGTCCTTTTTTCTCAGAAGGGACCACTCATGTCTACTCTGGAACTTTCCTTATCATCGCTTCTTAGGTAGGAGAGAGGCACTAATCTGTACACACCTACCTCATCTTCCTTTTAAGCCCATCGTTAGGGGTCAATACACCAATGTTGTGGATTCAGCTAATCAGTGATAGAATCAATGTCTTTTATTGTCCTCTTTGGTTGATTCACAGTTTCACATTGGACCCACTTTAACACATGCCTAGTATAATAATAATAATAATAATAATAATATAAATTATTTATACCATTTATACTATTATGAGAGCAATGTATATTCATCTTTCAAAATGCAGACAGTAAAGTAGAAAGTGATCCATAATCTTAACATAGAGCTATAACCTCCATCTAAATTTTGGTGCATGAACTTTCTGTTTTTATTATTTATTTTTAAAAATTCATCACATGTGTGCTCCCTGGCATGCATTTTTTTCTTATTTAATACAAAAATTGAATCATACTATACATACACATTTGTAATTTGCTTTTTTATTTAATCATATATTTTGGGTACCTTTCCATGCTCACAGAGCAAAACCCTAATTTTTACTTTTAATGGCTGCTTGGTAATCTGAACTACACATTGCACTAATTCCCCATTGGTTGATATTTATGTCACTAGTTGTTTTTCAGTTACATGAATGCCACTATATTTAATATTCCTGAACATGTACTTTTGTGTGCTCTCCCTTTCCTTTGGATATATTCATTGAAGTGGACTCTTGTGCTAAAGAATAACACACACTTACAAAGTACATATTTGTGAAATTGCCTCTTAGAAGGTTGTACCATTTTGTACTCCATACCCTCACCAACTCCAATCCTAGCAGTCTTTTTCACCTTTACCAATCTGACATCCAAAATAATTCGAACTCACTGTTGTTTTACAGGCCCCTGCCCCCAGCCTTAGTAATCATAGGTTGAGTGGTAAACATTTTTCATGTTTATCTATCATCATTACTTCTCTACAAAATTTCCAATTGGTGTTCATTGCCTCTATTCTGTTATAGGCATCTTTGTCCTTTAGATATGGATTCCTAAGAATTGTTTATGTTTACAAAAGGAGCTTTGTCTTTTGCACACATATGATTACTTTTCCAACTTTTTTGGTCTTTTTCTTCCAACTGAATTTTAGATTTTTATGTAGTTAAATCTATTTCCTTTTTTGTCCTTTTAGTAATTTGCTTTGGGGATTTTTAATAAAAAGGATTTATTATATATTTTGTGGTTTTAGTTTAAATCCTTAAATCTTCAATATAACCAGATTTTACTTCAATATAAGAAAGAGCTAAGAAAGGGATTTAACTTTATCTTTCCCCAAAATTATTAGCTGATTGCCCTAAAGATGATGATTGATAATCCACACAAAGTAAATATGGTCTAAAATTGGGTATTTTTGCTATGCAAATCTCCAAATGACCAAGGTTATATATCTGCCTAATCTCCAACATCCTCTATAACCTGAGCTCATCTGATCTATGAACAGCAAACCTTATTCTTAGATTTCCTCAACATGCATTTCCTGTTCTAGTCATGCAGAACTCCTTAGGCTCTCCACACCCATCCCCACCCTTCTTGGCTTATTCTTGCTTTCTTGGCTTTCCTTAGTTTGTTCTACCTCCAGCTGATCCTTGAACATTTCCGCATCTCCCTACATATCCACACCATCTTCCCTAATTTCTTCAGCCCACATTGATTGCCCCTTCCCCAGACTCCTACAGTATTTCTCATAACATTTATGTCCTAGTTTACAAAATGTTAGTATTCACACATGTATTGTTTGCTAATTTTTCTTTCATTAGCTTTCTTTTTGTCGAGTAGATTATAAGCTTCTTGAAGGCAAGGATTTTATCTTACATTGTTTTTATCATTTTGGTATTACCTTTGAGACAAACCAACATAGCGCTAATGACATATTTCACAACCCCATATAATTATTTGCATAGATAATAATTTTTGTTTATTCAAGAATCTCTACTATCAACTTTAGATGGTGTTTTTCCTTTGTAGACTATTTTTTTCTGAGTACACATATATTTTCCAAATACAAAGTAAGCAATAGATTAGAAAAAGCAATATGTAAGATGCTTTCTTTCATGATTTTTTCCTCACTAGACCTATATAAAATTATTTTCCTCACCTAGGGACTTGTGTATGTGGGGAATGTTCTTGCCATGATGTTGACCCAACTGGCGATTGGGGAGATATTCACGGAGACACCTGTGAGTGTGACGAAAGGGACTGCAAAGCTGTCTATGACAGATATTCTGATGACTTCTGCTCAGGTAAGTGCTCTCATCTCCTAGCTTTTAAATAAAAAATATTCATTTTCCTATTTTTGAGATTTCTCACAGAAACTGTAAAAGAACTGAATGTACATTCTAAAGCATTGAATACCCACAGTGCTCCTATTAGTCACTTGGAAACCTTTATGAGAACTCACACATTGGGCAAGAGTAGAGACGAAAATACACTCACTCTCTTAAAATTCATCTAATTCCTCACCACAGAGAACCATAGCTCTAGATATCTATCACTCAACTGAGACTACAAAGCTAGCAGACCTGATGACAATGCACAGGATAAGTACCATTATGACAAGCTATATGAATATGTTATAAAACTTAGGGTAATACAATTCTCATAAATATTTTAATGCATTCACTCTTTAGTATAATTTATATCCTAAAATTATTCTTTAATTTTGTCCAGTGTTAAATATCAATTAGTGGATTAAAAAATTTTATTTCATAAACAGTTATGGAGCAGATAGTATTTGCCAGGGTCTGGACTGCAACGCGGCCACTGAGTCCAGCGGTAAAGGAGACAAACATGATGCTTGCTTTTATGGAGCTCGCAATCTAAATGCCAAGGGAAACACAGGTCCTGCCAGAATGTTTAATGGTGCAAAGGGGAAAAAAATAACAGTCTGAGTTATCTGAAAAAGTGTCCTTTAGCAAAAATGGACTTACGGATTTTCAGTCCAGTTATGTTTGATAATCCGGAAAGCAGAGACATATGTAGATGCATCCCTTTAAGCCTGACTGCTTGATGAGTGCATGCAGATAGATAGGACTCGGCTGGTCTTCTGAAAGTTTGCCAGCAAAGGGAGATACAGAGCTGCCCTATTTAATTATGATTGTGCAACTACAAAGACTTCTCTGGCCTGGCTGAGGGGAGCCTGCGGCTAAAATTTCCTACTGCAGAAGGATTTCCTCTTCTGATTAACCCTCATGTTCAGGAGGATTTTCTACACATTTCATGAATACCGTTCTGAAAAGAATGCCCTTTTCAGATTTTTCTATTATTCATGATCTACGAATGTTCTTTATTATTATTGTTATTAACACAATAGTAATAAGACAGCTAACAACTATTCAGTGGTTTCTATATGCCAGACACTATGCTAAGTACTTTCCAGACTGTTTCATTTATTTTTCATCAGTGTCTGTGAGGTAGGGAATATATTCATTCTCATTTTATAATTGGGGATACTGAGGCTCCAGGAAGTCCCAAAACTTGCTGAAAGCCCCACAGCTAAGAGATAGAATCCAAATTTTAATGAGGTCTATGCATCTGAAGAAATTTAAAGGTTCTTTCTTTACTGAACAAATCTTTGTTTAAACTTTAATTTAATATAACACACATTTATTGAGATCAAACTATGCTGGAGGCACTGTGTGAGATATTAGGATATAAAAATATATTTTAAATCATAGGTTTACCCTCAAGAAATTTACTATCTAGCAAATAAAACTGCCACATAAACATAATATTTTAATATACTATGGTATGGGAGATTTGTATGCTCATGCATTTGTTCACTTATGTGGTCATGATACTAGAGACATAGCAGTGAATTCAACCGATAAAATCCCTCTCTTCCTGGAGTTCATATCCTGGCAGGGCTGGAGATACAACAAATTACAAATAAATAAATAAAATATATAGTAGGTCAGTGTCATGTATGTTCCATGGGCATAGTGCTATAGGTTAAAATGAGGAGAGAAGGGAGTTGAGAATGTTGGGACATGGGCTTCTCTGACATATTAATTAGGGTGCTGAGGCTCTTCACAGAGGTGGTGAGGTATGGCTCATGCATTTCAGTATGCTTTTGGATCACAGTGCATGTACAGTTCTGCCCCGAAGGGTAGGTTTGCTGGTTGAGAGAAGAGAAAGGCATCCCTAGCAGAGGGAATAGAGGCATACAATCTGTGCAGGGGACTAGAATAAGTTCAGTTACTATCAGAATGTACAAGTCAAGAAGGGTAAAGCTAGTGAGAAACAAAAACTGGAGGACTTTCTACCTTGCTGCAGAATTCGACTCTATTCTAAAGGCAATGGGAAATTGATTGTTTCAGGTAGTAGAGGGCTGTAATCACAGGTTTCCAGTCTGGAGGTCTGGATAAATGTTGGCGCCATTTACTGAAATGGGAAATATAGAAGGAAGTTGTCAAGTTAATTTCTAGATATATCAATCGTGACATGCCAGTGGCAACCCAAAGGTGTTTTTTTTTTAAGATTTTTATTGGGGAATTGGGGGGATGGGAACAGTGCTGGGGAATTGGGGGAAGGGGAACAGACAAGTTGCTGTCGTTTTGTTCTTCAGTCTAGTTGTGGAGGACATTGCTTCACTGGCCCAAGTTGGCACCATCATTGCGCTCTTCACCGGCTTCTGGATGGCCACTCACTGCGGCTGCTGGCCGCTCATGCTGGCTGCTGGCTACACACGGTAGCCCATGGCAACCCACTGCCACAGGGGCTGCAGCCTCTGCCGTCGCCTGCGACTCACAGCTGCCCAGCTCCAGGTTGAGCTGTTGTTCAGCCTCTTAGCTGTGGAGGGCTATGTCACTGGCCCTCATATGTGGGATCTGAACCGGGGTCCTCTGGCATCCCAAGCCAGTTCTTAACCATCGTGCCACTCGGCCAGCCCTGTTTGTTTCTTTTCTTTTGTTTTGTTTTTCTTCAGCTTGTTGAATATATGAGTCTAAAGGGTGTGGCCTCAGCACAAGAATTCAGTCATAGCACAGAGTTGCTAATTAAAACTATACAGGGACTCAGGGAACACCATTTAAGAATGTCACTTTAAGATTGTGAGATAAAACATGAACTGAAAAAAAATTAAAATAGGAAAATAACGGAGATACTCAGGCTATATTAAAATTCTAAGTTAGTGGCTTTCTGATATAATACTTGACACTCTTTCTTTAACATAGGGTACACGCTTCCTTGTTAAACCCATGATCCTGATCTTGATCTTGGTTTTGGAATAGGATTGAAAATTTCAAAATAACTACCTTATAGTGATAATTCAGGGTCATGTGAACTGGTCTATTTCATTTTGAGAGACTAGGGCCATAGGTGAATATGGGCATTGACACTTCAGTCCCTTTATAAGTTCACAATTCCTGTTATTTCGGTTTAGAATGACTACTATAGTTTGGGCAGGTGAAGGCCATTAAAGGAGGACTCCTTAGATTCTGAAATTTTCCACTTCATCTATTCCTTCCTGTCTTCCTTTTACCCTATTTTTCTCTTCCTCACATTCTCCATTCTTCCCTATGAGATTTCAGAGAAGAAAGTTAAGCAATTGGGCAGTTTTGATTGTATAGTTGGTGGGGTTTCTCATGGAAGGACTTTAGGAGAGAATGATTAACCCTTTAAATACAATCTCCATGCTGTGGGTGTAGACAGGTTGGGATGGGTAGAAGTGATGAGTAATAGGCTGTAGCTTGAACAATAAGGCGGAAGACAATACGTCATAAAATCCATTACTGTGGTTTTATTATTCATTTGTCGAACTGAACAGAATGTGGCCAGTTCTCCAGAGCCTGCTTCCCACAGTTAAAATAAGCAATTTAGGAAAGAAGAAACTCACATTCGCAGAGAGTCTACTCTGTTAGACACTTACCAAGTTAGTTTACACATCTCATTCCATTTTGTGTTCACACTAGCTCAGAGATGGAGGCATTATTATCTATATTTTAACAGAAAAGGAGTTTCAAAGAAATTAATTAACTTAACAAGGTTCACACTGCCTTTAAGTGTCATCTGAAAACACATATAGCCTAAGTACTCATGTAATTTAATCTCCAAGTGATGCAAACAAAATTCTTCAATTTGCTTTATTTTGGTAAGGAAGAACTGACCTCTGGATGCTCAGAATTCCTATAAAACTAAGCTCCTCTGAACATCATTAAAATTGGGAGCAGACATCAATCTCGGGAGTATTTCTTCATTCTTACTAAATCTGCAGAATTCTATATATTACCCTTAGTGAATTATTAGTCTTCACAATTTTCCTAATTGCCAGTCTAAGTTGCACCACAGGAAGTATGCCATGCAGCTGATTATTGAGTATGTTAATACCTTAGTGTTATGAGACAGAAATAACCCAACTACCTCAATATTCTGTAGCGATTTATGTAAGGCTGGAGCATAATAAGGTTCAGATGAAATGCTGCTTTATTTTAGCTCCTGTTCTTGCCATCCTGAGAGCATTGGTCTTATTTAAATCGAAGGGAAATCTCCTGCTGGATTAGTTTACGGTGGCTCTTTTAATTAACATTCTCATTTTATTTATTCATTCCCACTCTGTCCATTCATCGACTCAATAATTCACTTAAATGTAGATATTTTGTGACTATTCCATCATGGGTATGGAAGATACAAATATTTTAAAACATGATCCTTGCTTTCAAATAAATGTACTTATTTCTTTTTTTATTCCTATCTGTTGTTCATCATCCACATGGTGTATATGTATGCATGCATTTATTCACACAAACATAACACACACACACACACACACACACACACACACACACACACACACCCTACCTCAGAGATGACAATAATGACAAAATTTGAGTGTGACTAAAATTACCCATGTATGACCAGTCATCCTGAAGTGTACTGAGTGCTCTATTTATTACTTCAGTTCTATGAGCTGTTACCCTAAATTTACTTCCTGATTCTGAAATAACTCTTTTATTCCTGATGGTTGCTTACCACTCTGGTTTGTTTCTCAAATCCCCATATGCTGCTGTATGACCTTAAACTCTACCTTTCAGCTTATCCTGCCTACCGAAATGATCAAAATATAAGGTTATTTCTGGCTTATAGTTCCATTAGTTCCAAAATTAAATCATTGGATAGAACCATATTATGTGGGGAAATTTATCGTTGTGGATAACCAAAGCATTAAGAAACTAAAGGAAATTACTAAGTATGCTCGGTTTGCATTGTCTTGAGGGGAAATGAGTATACTGAATGGACTTCTTTAAAAAAATTAGCAAGCACCAGTTATATCTAATGTACTCCTCAAAACTTTTCCGTATTGATCGTCTTGATATTACTCTGTAAGAAGCTACTTGTAACATAAGATGTAAACATAAGATTCCAATTCATGAGCATTCTGGATCATTTTGAAAGAAAGGAATATCTTGTATAGCAGAAGAGTATTTTTCCAGAATGAATGAAATACATTTGTCCTGGATTGATATTAGTGCATTTAGATATAGCTTAACTCAAAGGAGTAGAATGATTACAAAGAAAAAATAAGTTTTGTGTCAACACCCTTTATTATAATGGCCTGAGAACCTTTATTGTCCCTACCTGTGCAGCGTGACCATGATGCCACTTGATTCTGGTCTTGCTGCCAATGCCCTGACTGTATGGTACAGATGGAGCTGCTGTCCCATCTACATACCAACACCATGCTCCATGTTCTTCTTCCATTGTTGTGTGTGCGTGTGTGTGTGTGTGTGTGTGTGTGTGTGTGTGTATTTAATGTATGCTCATAGATCTTTGAAAGCAATTCTCTAATGTGTATGAATATTCTCTTCACATTTGATATCAGGAATAAATGACAACATTCTATGTCTGTTATCTCTATTTTGTTGATCTGCCTACAGAGTTTAAAGGAATACTTGTTAGAAGGAAATTAACGCCTGCAGGCCTAAATATATACACATAGATTTGACAAACTAGCAGGGAAGCATGAAATTTCAGATCAGGGTGGTAAAGTTCGCTGCTTCTGGCTCTCTCACTTTTAAAGTCAAGGGGGATGAGACTCGAAAAGGGTAAGTAGTGGCACATTTGGATTGAGGACCACAGGTGTCCTAATTTCTTCTCTTATGCCTTTTTCACTATTTGGTTATAAAAGACCTTGATATAGAATGAAAGGATTTTCATGCTAGATAAGCTTATCTTTTCTTTACATAGCAAAACCATGCATTTTCATCCTGATTGTATCCTTATAAAGTAATTCCTTCTCTCTCTTGCTTTGGCATACCTTTTTATACCAGAATCAAGAGACTAGTAACTCCATAAGAAAAATGACAGTTGCGTTTTATGATTTCCTATCTTCTCTGAAAGTGTTGCTATCTACTTCAGAATCTGGTATCAATAGTGATTTCTAAACTACACCAGTTAAGTATCATTTAATTTTAAATTTCATTTAAAGTGGTATTCATAACATTCTAAAATATATTTTGACAGCAGGTGACTTTGAGCTATTGAAAGATGTAGGATGTAATTTTTCATTACTGTGAAAGCAAAATACATTTATATTTTAACTTGTCAATGAATCTCTAATAAACTTGCAATACCGATATCAATACTACTTTTCATCATATTAGACTAGAATTATATAAACCTTTCTTCTTTTGCTTTTACATTTGCTTCTTCCACGATCTTCATTGGGATATTTGGTTTAGGTTTTCCTACTTTCCCAAAACAATGAAACCTTCAAAATAAACATCCTATATATGCCACTATTTCATCATTAAACTGGTTGCCATATATTCACTGACCCTCAGGAATTTTATTCATTAAGGATCATTTACATAGGTCACTCATATTTTAGTAACCCTTCTTTCCTCAGCTTGAACTTGTTCAATTGATGTTGAATCCTGGCAAAGTGGAGAAGACTCCTAAGTGGACCATTTGAGAGGAGCAGAAACCATCTTGAACCAGACAATATTCTCCCACTTTGGTCTTTTGTATTTAGAGGCAAAGCCTTTTATCCCTTAGCCAATCACAGCAGTGACCCCATCCCATCAATTCATCCCAGTGTGTAAGCACTCAACTGCAGCTGGGTTACTGAGAGGGCATTTTGATTAGGTGAAGACTGAAGGTGAGGCAGAAGGCATGGAAGTGAGGAACCACCACACACAGGGCAGAAGTGAGGACACATAATCTACGGCCTTCCCAACTTTGCTTGGAGTTTGCAATTTCTGGAGGTGAAGCATAAACTTATAGGAATCATCGTTGAGAAGTTCCATGATGCTGTATTAAATGCACAAGAAACAGAGGTATAGGATATTATAGGCTACATTTTCCCCTAGTGTTTGTAAAAGAGCACAGATATAACAAAGGGATAGAAAAATGAAGCTGCAGTAACAGCATATAGCTATTTTTTTTCCTAGAGCAGCTGTATTATTTCCAGAATTTGTTAATGCATCCATAATTAGTCTGACTTCTTTTGATATTAATTGGACTTATTTTAACTCTAAAAACCTCTTATTAATAACTTCCAACCATTTTCACCAATTTGTTTTATTCTATCACATTTTTTATTTAAATATCGACATGTGGATGATCCTCAGATAGAAAATAACTGCTCTTAAACCTATATTCCAAATAGAGAACTTGAAAATGTTCTCCCTTCAGTCACTGGTAACCCTAGCATGGGATCCTGCCTCATTCCAGATTCCCTCATGCTGGACATGAGTTGCTGCCTGTGAATTCCAGGCAGCCGTGGCAGCAGGTGGCATCCTCCTGGGTAGTCAGGGATTTCCTGGCATCCTAAACCACTAGATGTTTTGTTCTAACTTTTATAGCTATTTTAAACTTTTAAGAGTAAAGTTTTTTTCCCCTTTCAATCTAACTCTCTTGCTCAGTTTTATTGTTGAAATGTCAACTGGTCTTCCACAACTGGGAGCATTTTCTGTACTTTGTCTAGTATCCTTGTGACAGATCTACTTGTTCTTCAAATGAAACCTCTTGTCTTCAAGACTTTCAAAGCCACTGGCACTTATGAAACAGCAAAATTGATTGTACTTTAAATGCTAAAGATTTTGTTTTAAAAGCTGTTATTTATCTATGCATTTGCAATACAGCTCTGTTTGCAAATTTTGCTCTAAATTACATGAGGGTTGAGAAGATGGTTAGGAAATTTTTAAGCTGGGGTAAATGGCAAAAAGCCACAGAACCCAACAACCTCTGAAATCTAATTGCTAATAAGTTACTGTTATAATAAAAATTATCATATGTGAAGGTCTAAATGATTATATTCACATGAAACACATATTTATTAACAATCACAATGTTTTTTTCCTGAAAAATGATAAGTTGCAAGGCAGAGTATTAATGACAACAATTTATTGTTTAGACTCTGTTACATAGTAGGTACTCAATAAATGTATGTTGAATTGTATTTAATGTTAAATGAGAGATTTGGATTTAGTGATCACTAATATCTCACCCTACTTTGACCTATGAAGTTATGATTTGTTCCATAGATACCCAGATTAACAAATGACCAAAAGCTTCTCGAGATGTGGATTGTCCAATTCTTCAAATTCAAAACATAGGCATCTGCCCACAAACTTCATGTAATATTGATAAAATAGTCTGGTCTTCACCGAAGGCCAATGTCCTTATTGTATGATATATATTAACATCAGATGCCAAACACAAAATAGTATGGATTTTCAATCATTAGCTTTATACTTGATATATTTAAAGAAAGTGTAATTTGACTTCCTTTAAAATTCTTCATGCATTTTTGCAGCAACTATAGAAATCCACTTTATTCTGCATCTGTAATAATGAGTATCTGAATGTTTCCTAGGAGTTAGGAAAAGCTCAGCAGAAGTTCCCTTGCTTTCCTTCCTATTCCTTCTTGGTTACATATGTGGGCTCAAATGAATAGAAATCACAATAGCTCACTTTTATGGGGCATTTTAAGATATATTATGTACTTCCTGATAAATGTGGACAGAAAATGCATTATTGTCCTGTTTAAAAATGAAGAAAGTAATCTTTGAAGAGGTCGTCATTTGAACAGCCTTACTCTCTAGGTAGTAGCAGGGACAGGATTTGAACCCAATTATTTGATCGATAGTATAGGCCATTTTTTTGCTACCATACCACAGTTGTTTACAGGCTCTGTGTTCATGTGCAAAGAACTTTAATATCTTCCTGACCTCTTTTGTGTGTATTCAATTGGCCTTCCAGGATTGTGAACTCCACACAGGTTACTGGTTTTAAGGTAAGGGTCTCTAGCCTAAGCATGCAGTGTGTAGTAAAAAGGTAATGAAAATGCAGGGTGGGTGACTCCAGAAGATAAGATCCTGATTGAGAAACAAATTGTTTTCTATGTCCTCTGCTCTCCTCCACATGAATGAATTGCCAGACCCATCAAATACGCCATTTAGGCCTCAGCAGACCAATACAATCACAAGCACCTGGATTTTGAGAAATTCAAGTTTGTAGCCCTACAAGCCTTTTTATATTATCTGAAGTTGCTGCTTTTCTTCAGCCCTCAAGATCAATTAATATAAATTAGGTGTTTAAGAACTTGAGAAAAATGTGCTTTTGTCTTACTGTTTTATGTTGTGTTAATTAAGGTTCTGACTCATTTGTGACATTCACTGTTGAAATGAAAATGAATGCTGACTTAATTATATATTTTCTCATATATATTATTATTTTTTTTTTTTACGACTCTCATTGTAAAGGTCACGGGCAGTGTAATTGTGGAAGATGTGACTGCAAAGTAGGCTGGTATGGGAAAAAGTGTGAACACCCACATTCCTGCCCACTGTCAGCTGAAGAGAGCATCAAAAAATGCCAAGGAGGCTCTGACCTGCCTTGCTCCGGAAGGGGTAAGTGAGGGCTCTCAGGCCTTGTCACCACCTCCTAATCCTATGAGTCAAATGAATTCAATCCACATATATCTTATCTAAAAGATAGCTAAGATTCCTGAATGAGAGGTTAGTCTTTTCAAAACTAAGAAAACATCCACGTTCCATGAATGAAAGTATATGGTGAAATATAATCTCTCTTTTTCCCTTTGTCACACACTCACACTCACTTTAACTTTAACTTTCAGTCCACTTTAACTTTGAGGTATGCTCAACTTCAATTCAGCTCAGTTCACTCAGTTCAATGCTACATTACAAAGAAAAAAATAAACTGTTTGTACATTTGCTCAAAACTTTCTAAATGAGACCATCTAATTGTCCACTGACATTCCAGAAACTCAATAACACTGGTGTATTGAGGAGAGTGTTGGCTTTTGAAAAGCATCATTCTAGACAGATAGCTCTGAATAAGTTTTTGTTGTTTTAGAAGGCATGTAGTCTCAGGTGTGCTCTTGGTACCAGATCAGTACAAACTGGAGAAGGAAGAATTCATCTAGAGGAAAGCTCATTCAATTCTTTTTGATTTATCAGAGTACAAAATACAATTTACCTCTAACATGAAAATGGCCAAGTTAATGTGAAATATATTCCAGAGGAACTAATTGAAGTTATCACAAATTTTTGTCACGAGAGAGGAAAAGAAGAAAGATTTCCTTTACCTGAATAGATCAGACATTTAATTTCATGTTGCCATTTTCTTTTAGAAAAATGAATTTTTTTACTGAGATATAATTTGAATACCATAAAATTCACTCTTTTAAAGTATACAGCTTCATGGTTTTGAGTACACTGACAGAATCATGCAACTATCACCACTATCTCATTTCAGAACATTTTCATCGCCACAAAAAGAATCCCTGTGCCCCTTACCACTTACACTCCATTCTCCCCTTCCTTCAGCCCCTAGAAACCATTATTCTGTTTCTCATCCCTATGGATTTGACTAATCTGAATATTCCATGTAAATGGAATCATAAAGCATGTATCCTTTTGGTTTCTGACTCTTTCCACTTAGGATAATGTTGGGGTCCTGCCTTGGCGTTTTAGTGAACAGTACCTGAAGTGGGGGGCGAGGTTTAAGGAAAAAAAGAGGCAAAGAGACAAAGAGGGTCCGGGAGGACTGGAAGCATTCTTAGCAACCAGCCCCGAGTTTATTTTTCCTCCCCATTATATACCCCCAGAGTACATGTAACACAGAAGGGATGAATATGCATAACCTCATTAAAAGTACATCATTATTTACCAACTAGAAACCTGAAGGTCAGTGGAAAATTTAGAGGGTCAGTTTCCCAGGAAACTATCTTCCCCAAAGCCAAACAGCCCTCTATCTTCGTGTGTCTCCTAAGGAACTGGCCTTCTCACCACATGCCTCAAGGTTAAGTAAGCATCCTCCAGGTGCAGAAAGGAGCAAGAAGCAAAACAAGTTATACTACAGTAAAGCCAGCCTGCATGGCTCCCAACAGGATAACAATGTTTTCAAGGTTTACCCACGTTGTAGCACATGCTTCATTCTTTTTACAGCTGCTTAATATTCATTTGTATGGATATACCACATTTGTTTATTCATCCATCTCTTAATGTACATTGGGGTTGGTTCTACTTTTTGGCCATATGAGTAATGTTCTATAAACATTCATGTATAAATTTTTGTGTGGATTTCTGTTTTAATTTCTCTTGGGTTTATACCTATAAGTGGACCCTCTTGGTCATATGTTAACTATGTTTAACTTTTTGAGGTAAAGTGGCTACACCATTTTATACATTCCCATCAGCATGTATGAAGAAGGTCCCAATTTCCTCACATTCTTGCCGTTATTTGTTATCATCTTTTTTTTTATTGTTACAGTTTTCTTTATGTATAAAACTCCCAAAGTCTCCCAAGATTATTTGTACCATAGGCATTTTCCCATAGACTGATATTTATCCCTAATGATATAAGTAGGGGGATAAGCTATGGGTAGAAGGAATTTTTCATTTCATAATCATTTCTGCCTTGCCCCATTTTTCACCAATAACCCCAGACAGGAACTGCTCTTTTACCTACATTAATACAATATTGCCATTATAGTTCTTGAGTAAGCCTATTATGCTTTTAAAGTAACAAAGTTTAAAAAAAATCATTCATTGTTATAATAACAAATTATATAATAGAAAAATAAGAAAAGTATATCTCTCAAATATAAAAATATCTCTCAAATATAGAAAATCACTCTAATAAATATATTTACCAGTGGTTTTTTATTTGTCTCTAAAGTTTTTAATATAGTGGTAGTGTAAGAAGATGATTGTGGACTTTATATATCAATTTTTAATAAACTCTGGCAAACACACATCTGTCTCTGTAGAGATTCACTGATACATTTAGCTACCATTTTTAAACAATGGAGTATACTTAAAGTTCATTTTATTTAAAAAGTGTTGAATATATGAATAAAACTATGATTTTTAAATTTTTTTTTATAATTCATTAAAGCCTTTTGAAATACTTTATAGATAATTAATAAGCTTCTCTAGTTTTCTTTAAAGAAATTGAAGTATTGATGAGTGAAGTGATTTCCTCGGGAGCCATAACAAAACAAAAGAATTCTGAGAATGAAGACTCAGGATTTATGCGAGCCAGTCCAGTACTTGGACCAATAATCAGAAATCCTTTTTTTCTCATCGTGCTACATCTGCAAACTCATTGGCATTGGATGTTTCAAATCAAATAGCCAATATGAAAACTTCTAAAGGATTACTTTTGCTATTTATGACAGCTGCAGCTGTGGTTACATGCTTGAGGAAAACAATTACAGGGCCCTTCGGTCCACAAGCTGGAGAACCTCAGCAGCTTACTAGTTCAGGCCAAGAAAAAAAATATTCTCCCAGTGACTGTACTGAAGTTCTTTAGTATAGTTCCCCTCAGGGGCCAGGTGAAGGCAATTTTCCACAAGAAATTAAATTAGATGACTTGCTTCTGCTGGTGATGACTAAGTGCGATCCATCATTATGTCTTAAAGGGAGGGGATAATTTAGATGATTTCTTACATTCTCTATGAATCCTCTGATTCCTTGATTTGTACAACTTTCGCTATTCTCAAACCAATGCTCTGCTCAAAACTTAAAATGGCTTATCATAGACTACACATTAGTTTTAAACTTGTCTTGACTTAGAAGAAATACATTCTGTTGTTGTTGTTGTTATTATTATTATTATTATTATTATTATTATTATTATTATTATCCTCTTGAGTATGTGTCACTGGCTTTGGCCAAAAATTGTGAGCAAAAGTTATGTGTGTCACTTCAGAGCAGAAGCTTAAGGGGCATTGAGTGCCCTGTCTTTTTCCCCCAGGCCTGGGGAGTTGGGGTGTTTGAGATGGTGACTGATCCATTAGCCTGGATCGCTGAGTGAGTATGATTAACAGAAACCTCTGCTGACACCACTAAGGACCTATAACACGAGTGAGAAATAAACCTTTGTTGTTTGTTAGTTAGTTTCAGGTGTACAAAACAATGTGATAGTTAGACATTTACGTCCCTCATAAAGTGATAACCCCCTTCTTCCAATCTATCACCCCTCTGACATTGTATATAGCTGTTACAGTTCCACTGACTCTATTCCTTATGCTGTACTCCAAGACAAATACCATATTATCTCACTTATATGTGGAATCTAAAAAATAGAATAAATGAAAAACCAATCAGAAACAGTCTCAGAGATATAGAGGAAAAACTGATGGTTGCTAGATGGGAGAGGGGTGGAGATGGGGGAGAAGGGGTGAGGGGGTTAGAAAACCTTTGTTGTTTTAAGCAGCTCAGATATTAGAGTTGTTTGTTACTGCATCAAAACTCCTGACTCATACTCTCTTCCACACACAAAACTCCACATACCATCCCCAAAATACAATGAGGTGGGAAGAAGTACAATTATTCTTCTTTTTACAGAAAAGAAATTTGAAATTTGAGTAGTTCGCCATCTTACATAGTAAGTGCCAGAGGTACAAGTTTTAATACAAACTTTTACTGCAGGCTGACTCCAGAGCTGTTGTTTTAGACTATTTACTGGTTCTTTTATCATATCAATTTGCTGAACAATACATAATGAATATATTTCTTTGTTATAAATATCCTTATGCAAAATCATTGATATGGCTGCATAGTATTCCATAACAAAAGAGTAATCAATTCTCTTTTATTAGACATCTAAATTGTCTAGTATTCAAGTTCTAAATATCATAATTTACATTCTTTCAGCTGAAAATTTGCACAACTTTTTAGTATGAATTCTTAGATGTGAAATGCATAGATCTAAATGAAAAATTATATCAAAGCTTTTCAATAAAAAATTTGCCCAAGCAATTTGTATTCTCTAAAATAATTGTACCAGTATACCCCCCCACCAGGGGCATAACAGGGATTCCCTTCCCCACCAATGCTGACAATTTAAATAACCAGTTAGCGCTGCTTGATATATTTCCCTTTTAGTGTTATAAACTCTTAACATTTATCAAACTTCTTTTACTGAGACCTATAATCTTCAAAGCGAATGATTTATCTGTAGCCATTATTATTCAGAAGCTTATGTTTGAGGTATTTGTCTTTGATCATCACTTGTCCTTGTGCCTAAGTCATCTTTTTGTTTGATGCTGCAATCCCATGTGTTTTTGTTGCTTGTCCTCTGTGCCCTTTGGTTTTCTTTTATTAGACTTGTTCTAAGAGGTATTGCATATGTTTTAGTCCTTAAACATACATAACCATACACCCCCACAAGGGAAGGTGTGAAGTGGAGGAAGAATGATAAATTGAGGCTAATTATTTAATACTGTAGCTTCTAGAAAATAGAAACCATGTCCTCATTTTTATCAATTAGTATGTTTTAATTAATGAATTAAGCAAGTCCGTTCAATTCCCTTAACTAGGAACATACTTTCAAAGAATAATAGCATGCCAAATTCCTACCATCTGGAGATTTTTCAATT